TCCCACACTGACAGGCTGAAGGAACTGAGTCTCTTTAGACTGAAGGAAGTGTCCCATACTGAGATTCTGAAGGAACTGAGGCTCTTTAATCTGAAGGCAGTGTCCCACACTGACAAGCTGAAGGAACTGAGTCTCTTTAGTCAGAAGGAAGTGTCCCATGCTGAAGGAACTGAGGCTCTTTAATCTGAAGGGAGTGTCCCACACTGACAAGCTGAAGGAACTGAGGCTCTTTAGTCAGAAGGAATTGTCCCACACAGACAGGTTGAAGGAACTGTGTCTCTTTAGTCTGAAGGGAGTGTCCCACACTGACGTGCTGAAGGAACTGAGTCTCTTTAGTCTGAAGGGAGTGTCCCACACTAACAAGCTGACAGTCTCCTTAGTCTTGAACAGATAAGACTATGAGGGGACCTGATAAAAATATTTGAAATCCTCAGTGACCAAGACAAAATCATCTCAGCAGAATTCTTCAGGATCAACAGTGAGACACGAGCCAGAGGACAGCTTGAGGAAATGACAGGGAAGAGCAGTTCAGACTGTGAACGGAGGGCTCACCCTGTGGTATTACCATGAAAGGGTATGAGTGACCATGGCATGTGCTTCAGAACTATAGAACACTTTCACGCGTGGCACAGTGGCTATTTCTGATTAGGTGAACCTCCTCTTTCAGGAATTCTGAAAAGACACGTAATCAGCCCAGATCAGAAATGAACCCAGGTCAGGTCAGGTCAGGTTTGAAATTCATTTGCAAGAGTCTCTCACCCCTCAGAAGGGTGTCTGTGCTGACGCACGAGACAGACTGAGGCTTTACTGGGAGTATGAAAGCCCCTGGAGAAGGTGTGAACACAGAGATTAACAGGGAAGATGCTCCTCTGTGTCCCTGTTTGTTTGATGATGATGACTGACCATCTGAGACTCAAACTGTCTTTAATCCTTTCTGGTTTAAAGACACTGGAACTCCCAGAAGTTTTCTGAAACTTTAATCCTTTCTGGTTCACTGCTGGAACTCCCAGAAGTCCTCAAAGTGGAAGAGCATCCAAGCAATGCAGACGTTCAAGAGAGTTTCTGATTTTAATGACCTCTTGTCACTACAGTAAAATTTTTACACACTAGATGTAAAGTAAGTAACTGCGGTTTTACTCCATGTTCAAACAATTAACTTGAACCTGATTACTTTCCTAAAGCACATATTATTCTCTGACCCTTGAACTACAAAACCTCACGTACAGAATTCTTTTTAAGCCCCCAAAAGTCCCTTCCCTTTGTAGGGAAAACCGGTTCAGGGACGCCAAATATGTAATCATAGTGGCTCTCTGAAGGCACCAGTTCGGTAGGGTTTGGGCATTTACTGAGACAATTATTAATTGTAGCAGTAAATCACAAAGTTGATTCTTTTG